GGTTTCCACGGGAAAACAAATAAATAAACACCGTTGTAAAACCAATACATTTGTCACTCCACTCCAGAATTTAAAACTGTAAAAAGCTAACGATGTCTATTTGATGTATTCACACTTCCCCCCCCCCCCCTCCGCTCCTCGCCATTGCACAATCCTGGCTACGCCGCTGGTTATGGCTTTTGCAAAAATCTGTCTTAATTCTTGTAACTATTAATCAACCTATTATTCAGACATGTATGTTCCGTGAATAGAATATTTTTAGTAGTTGCAATTACTGTTTTTCCAGATATTAAATTCAAAAACACCATTAAAATTCGCTGAGATTTCATACAAATTCCGATAAGAAAATAACCGGGAATCGTTGTTTTTTTTTTCCGATTAAAGTAATATTATAAGATACGTGAAATGAAACAAAATACTGCGAAAGTACGAACGGTAAACCTTATATTCATTATTATTCTCGAAATAAAATAATTATTTTTCAGATTGTCGATCGTTATTTGATAGAATTCAATCCTTGTTTAATACGATATGATTTTCCCGAAAAATGTACATTTATTATTCGTCCATGTTAACAATTAGATAATATTGCAACAATATATGACCGTATAATTCAGTCTATATTAAAATGACTCAATGATCACGTTTTGAATTAATTATCAATGGAATAATTTGTACTTGAGGTGGGTACTTGTTGTTAATCAATTTCGGGGCAATACAATTAATGCAGTTTACTAGCTATTTGTTGGTAAGTCTTAGAAATATTGTAACTAATGCGTTAATATTCTGTAATATCGATGGAATAATATTTATAACTCGTATGAGAAACACGGGAAACTCGATATAAATGTAAATATTATCCTTACCTATGAATTATAACATAGGTACACTGGGGCTAGTGACTAGAGATGTGTACATTTGTCTAGGCAAATCGGAGTAAAATATAGATTTTTTAATTTCATAGCGAATGGCGACAAGAAAGAAATAATAAAAACTGCGTATGATGTAATAATACACTATCGTTTTTTTAATATTTAACGAAATGATTTGGAGGTAACAAATCTCGTACTACAATTGTATTATTATCGCGTTGTAAAAAACTTCAGAGGGTTCACCCTGACTATAAAGGGTTAACGCCTTCTGTGTTAAAAAATATACTACTAAATGTACAACACGTTAAAATTACTACAATAGTTATTATTATGTATCCCATTAACTGGTTGACTGATTTTTTGTTAAGTTTTTAGTTCTGTTGTTTACACGTGTGATTAAATTATTATTGGTTTTAAAAACGATTTTTAAACTATTTGTATTGTTATTCAGAATTCCAATAAATTCGTCAGGCATATTATTTTGATATTTCATACTACAATAGTTAACAACATTATTTGATGAGTTGTGTATTATTTTTTCTTTAATACGTTTTTTTTTTTTTTTTTTATAGTATTTAAATTGATATTATTTCTATGGACTATATCATAAATAATATTGAGCTCGTGTTGATAATTATGTTTATTTAATGGAATACGTTCAAGTCTGTAGAATATTGAATTAAAAAATGATATTTGTTGAGAATATGGATGATTAGAATTATGTGATATTATAGTTTATATTACGGTTTATGTAGATTTCCTGTAAATACTATAATCAAATTTATTGTTTTTTTTTATGGAAACTGTAAGATCTAAGAAATCTAATTTTTTATTAATTCGTATTTCAAATGTAAATTTAATGGTTTTATTTATTTTGTTTGAATAAGTAACAAAATGTTCTGCTTATCTAATTTGAACCTCTAAATAAAACGGAAGTACCATCAACATATTTGTAATATTAAATATTATATTAATATACACTTAAAGAACCGCATATAACTGAAGGTGGCTTTCGTTTTATTTAGAGGTTCAAATAAACAAACAGAAAATTGAATTAACTACTTAAACAAAATAAATAAAAACGTTATTGAATTACACTCGAAATACAAATAAATAATAAATTTAATTTCTTAGATCTTATTCATTCTAAATAATCTCTCCCATTAAAATAAATTGTTTCTATGTTGAACGACTAATTTGTATAATTTTTTTTTTTTTTCTAGGTATTCCTTCATTTAATTTTTTATATTCAGTCGCGTTTTACATTTTGACTGTGATATACCTAATGATGAATTTTTAATCCGAAACCAGTCGTACAATACACTTATCATAACACTGCAGGTGACGCATTCATTCGTTTATTTATTTTTAATTTCTATGTATACATTTTTTATTAATACATTTATTTTAATTTTTTTTTATCGCATATTTTAATTTTCCGTAACAAGAACTGTTCAAGTATAATTATTAATTAATTCATTATGTATTTTTATTTTCGGGCATTTGCCCTCACTCTATAACTTGCTTATAGAACCATCTATTGTATGTGCAGGTAAGTATAGAACATTTTTAGATTTTTTTCTTCGGCTTTATTATTTTTATGGTCGGTATTTTCCACTCACAACGATCTGCTATATCACCTACGCATACAATCTGTAAACTCGAGGATCGTCTCCCAATATTTCCGCTCATATTTACTTTGTCCTTCCTTTTCTTGACCTTCTGCATTCGCGTCCCTCAACGCCCTGCCTCGTTTCACACCATAATCAATCCAAACCAACACGTTTACACTCATAATTTATAATACATTATTGTATTATTTTACATGTAAATATGACCAGTCACATGAGTAAACACCGAAAAAAAAGTACGGCGTATTTGTGTTTTTGTCTGCCTAAGTTAGTGACAATTAGTCTTCTTATATATGTAGGTGCAATACCTACCAGTAAATAAATTGTTTTAATTGGTGTATTTTTAAACATCCTGTTGTAATACAACACGCATTATTCAGAACAGTATCTATTTTTTTAACATGAGCAGAACTTCCACACACTTCATCCGCATATGTTTTAATAGAAAGAACATAACGTTTACTACTCTTTAGTACCACCCGTGGGCGTAACTTGGGCAATCTGTATAGGGGAGCAAAGTTTAATTCATTTTAGTAAACTTAAAGGCTTTAGAATATGTTTAGAAAACGTATAATTAATAATTATATTAATAATGGTGTTACAAATTCCATAACGAGTCAATTATTAAATTAAAACTAAATATTTACATTTACGTTAATTGTATTCTTCTTCCACTTTATGGTGAGCCTGCATTCAACTGGTTTATAATTATTTCAAAATTAGTTTTATAACTTTTTCCAATGTGTATAAAATAGCCATATCGCTCAGTATTTGACCAATACTGTTTCTCGTAAATTTTTCGAGGCGACGAAAAGATGAAAACGAACCTCACTCGAAGCAGAACTCATTGGTATTGACAGTAAAATGCGATAAATAGATAAATAATGTATACGTTTTGAAATGAGCCTAGTAAGTCTATTTCTAAATGAAAATTGAAATGGGCTTCAAAATTTTCAAGAATTTGTTGAACACATTTTTCCAAATAGTTTTAATTCTGCTTTTAAATCATTGTGTTCAATATTGTAGGTGTAACAAATTTCTAAATTATCTTCATCCCTGTTATACTGGTACTTAAACAATTCCAAAGAGCGTTAAATATTTTCAAGTGGTTTTCTTCATATTTTATTTTGTTTAAAAATATACAAGGGTAACATGTCGAGACTGTTTAATTTTCATTAAGACTTAGTATGCTATCTAGTGGAAGCTTTGTGATATTCCTTTAATAGTTAAAATTAGAGTTCATTTTTCATTTTAACTACAACTGTAAATTAGTTTATTATGTAACAACAAAATGCGTGTCGCGTATTAAATTTTAAAAAAATATTATTCGTCACACGTGTTTATTTTAATCCAACTAGTAAAGTAGTAACAGAATATCTGCAACCTTAGCGAAATGGAGGTATACAAAATTCACTAAACTGTTCTCTAGAAAAAATACCTCCTTGCCCGCCTCATGTAGGCTACTATAATCATTAATCAGTCTCTTTGTCAAGCTCAGCAGTTGATTTCAGTCTCCTCAGTGGGTACCAATAAAACTCTGCCTTAAAAATTAATATTTTTAATTCTGAACAAATAAATCACATTGATATTTGAATATCAAATATAAATGTTATATATCCTGTAAATAATAATATAAGAAATCTCACCAATTTCAAAATATTATCTATCATAGCCTCTTTATTGATGAAAAAAGTAAAATTTAAAATGGAATGTAATAAAACTGTAAACAACCGTTTAATTACAATATCATATTATAGTAAATAACATTTATACTTCCTAACCTGTTAAATATGCAAAATACAATTTTGTATTTAAACTATAAATAACCCAAAACAAATTCTTGTCAAATCTATTTTCTTATATAGTGTAGCAAATTAACATGTAAATGAATTAAATTCACAGCTCTTGTTACATACGTACAAACAATTTCTATAATTTAATTACTATAAAGCTAATAAAATTTCCAATAACTAATGATCAATATAGAATTATAAAATAACAAAGTTCACACAAACAATATGACATACGTACAATACTTATACAAAATTAATTCAAACCTTTTAAATATATTTTATACATAATTCATAATCCAAAATATAAAGTAAACCGCATAGTCATTGTTTTGCTAGTTAGTATATTTTTAGAAATAATACAAGCATTCAATGTGATGTAATCCAATATAAATTATACATAATAGAAAAGAATATTATATCTTAAATACAAATAATGTGTTCAAATATAATTATTTTTAAGCTTTAAATAATTTTACTTTTATAATAAATAATGAACAAAGAACAATATTGAAAAAAAATTATTATATCATGAAATACAATACATTAATTAAAATCGTCCATTTAACAATCTTAATTTCTTAACAAACAAAAAAACATTTTCAAATTTTAAAACTATATTATACATTTTTAATTAGAATTCAATAATAGGTAGGCAAGATTTAAACAAGTATGTATGATTTTTAACAGCTTTTTAAAAATGATAATTAATCTTGATGGATTTTGACAGCTGTCTCTAATTCTAATGGTTCAAAGTCTTCAGATAACTTTTTGGCCAAAAAGTAAATTTCAGCTAAGGCAATAATTAAAGCACATATGATTCCTAATAACAACTTGAAGCCCAAATCAAAGGTGGTGCTAAGCATCAACTCAATACCCAAAAATCCAAATAGAAAACCAGCAGCAGTTGAAATCACAAATTGAAGAACTGCTATCAACTGTCTATTGATCTGCTTAACTAAAAACATAAATACAAACATTTAATGCAAATTCACTAATTTATGTGTAAATACTAAATTTGTTTTGAATATACTATAGGTATGGAGTCACCAAATACTTATCGAAATACATTACAAACTTTTATTTTTGAAATTAAAAACATTTATTTAAATTATTATTTAATTTGTTTAACTTGTCCAAAAGTGTTAATCAAATAGTTAAATAGCTATTGCTAAATATATATTCCCAAAAATTAAATCTGATCTAAGAACATTGGATGTTGTTACAACAGTACAACACTATAGTATTTATAGATCTGTGAGCTATTACTAATAGGAACTTTAATTACAAAATTTACTGAGTGTGTTTTTAAATTTGACTATTTTAAACCGCTTTGCATATTATAGATTTGTTGTCATTATCATCATCTTGAAGTGATGCTGATAATCTTATGGAAGTACATATCATGCTATCGACACTACGAAGGAGCAAAGGAGTCATAGTTATCAAATATATGTGGTTTAATTTATCTGGAACTATATACAATGTACCAATACTTTTATGCAACAATCTGTGTGTTCTTCATCTAGTTTTCAATCAGATGGGCCACCAGATTAATTATTAATAATAAACCCTATCCATTCAATTGCCTCACTCCTAGCCATATTAATAAGTTGTCCATCGGATGCATCAAAAGGTAAAAGGTGTATATAACTTTCTAAGAATATAGAAATATATTGGATTTTTGATCCGATTCATTATTGAATCTAATGAGTAACACATGGAATGTTAAATGCCATAATAATTTTAGAGATGCCAGTAATATGTATCCAGATAGGTTTTTATGTAACCCAGCTTCAATACTATAAATTGTGGACATATTTTGTATACTCTATTCCAAATAAGTCTGGAAAAATGTATGGTTGTATACAACCTGATCAAATTTTCACAACACTCCGCGTACATACGAGCTGCGTACAACGTTCTACTCCACGTGCATATTATAAATATTATGCTCAAATCATTATTATTATAATTGTCTTTACACACGGCGGTGAGCTCTGGATGTCGACCAATCACGACAAATGTCGATAACTGTTGCCAATGACAGCGCACCTACCTGTGCAACTTTTTCCAGACTTATTTGGAATAGAGTATAATTCTACACTCTAGTTATAACACTAAACAAAATTGAACATGGAAAAATTAATGGAGAAGTGGACATTTTCTAACTCTCAATACCAAATTTGCTACCTTCAAAAACTGTTGTACCCATTATTATGTCATTTAATAGATTAATTTATTAATTTGACAATAATAAAATAAACAAAGACATTATTAGTTTTGCCAATTTACAATATTAAATTATCGTGAATAGTGGACTCAGCCGTCTAAATTTTTAAGATTGGCGGTCTCACTATCTCTAGCCCTGACAGTGAAAACAGTTGTACAAGTATGTTGCAAACGTTAAAGTAAGCATGAAAGGCAAATATCTTTAATTCATTAAAAATACAAAATGTATTTACTTTGATAAGAGATTGTATCTTCAGGCAGCCTAACTCTGCGGAAATCTACATTTTTTGTCATAATATCGTATTCCTTGTTCTTCAAACGCTGCTCTAACTTTCTTATTTTTTCTTTATACTCTGGACTTGGCTCAACAATTGGTGGACTTGGTAAAACTATACTATCTCCAGTGATTAATGTGTGTAAAGGTGGACCATTGATTTTTTTCAGATGTTCACTAAACCATTTAAAGGCTTCAACATCCAACAATTCCACAGAAAAACATTCACTGATATGAGTAGGTATATCAACTTTTGAATTTTTGATTTTTTTAAACAAATCTAAAATCTCCGAAGTTGTTTTAATTTTAATTTTGTAATCCATATTTTTTATTGATTATCGGCAATTAATTTATTAATGTCTTCTTCGTAATTTATTTTAATTGTTTCCACTTTATCCTTAATGTCTTTATCTATACTTTCATATCTAATTTTCAAATCAGACTTAAATGTTTCTAACTCTCTTTGACGTTTTTCATGAAGTTCTTCTTTAATTTTCAACTCCTCATCCTGTAAATATTCAAATCAAATATATTAAAAACACTATTTTTAAATTATAATTGTCATTGTTGTAAAAATTTACCGAAATTATGTTATTTTCCTGGTCTAAAATTGATTGACTTAAATCCAATGCTTTATTAATGGCAGAATTTAGTGACGTTAAATTTTCTCCACTTGATTGTAAAAAACTTTCAATTTTGTTTTCTTTCAAGTCAACAATAAGTTCAGATATTTTTTTAAGATTTTCTTCGTCAACTTTATATGCTTTCTTCTGAAACGTATTATTATAATATATTATTATTACATACTAATAAACGGACAATAAATTAAATCTTACATCAAATTCTGATAAAAAATATTTTATTTCCCCTTGCAAAAATGGACGGTGGCTAAACAGCCTTTCCCAGATGTCACTCAAATCTGAAATTAAGTACAATAAGTATAAATATAACCCATAAATTATAAAGATTTATACAAGATATAATATAATATGTCTTTTATGTCAAATATTTTAATGATCAACTGTCAAACATTTAAAATTTTAATTGGAACAAGTTAATTTATACAGTAAAATATATTTTAAAATGTATAAATTAATATACGGATAAATAGTGTAATATAATTTACATTGTTATGCCTATGGTAAGTAGTAATACAAAGAAACCTCTATAAATAAAATATTTCATTAGAATATAAAGCTGATAAATATATTGAATAATTAATTCCATTATAAAACCCTCAATACATGTATATTGTATAGCTGTTTTAAACAATACTTGAAAATGAGTTTATGACTATAGGTATACAATTTTATACTTATATACAAATATTTTATTTTTAATGCTTATCTTTGTTTTTATATTACTACATAATATAGGTAATAAAGTTTAATAAAGTTATGCTCCAATCTAAATGCATCTACAACACTATATTTCTGATTATTTAAACAAGTACCTATTCAAAATAAATGCTGTGTTTATATGCCCGACTAGGGTCGGTAAGATAAGGAACACCTGACCAGTATCAAAAATTTTTTAAAAAAAAGTCCTATTTTAATTACTATATGGATTTCCAAAATAATTTAGAGTATAAAAAAACTTGCTATTTCTCTCTGGCCGTTACTGTTTTTAACTAATAGGACACATATAATGGGATTTTTTTATTGATCAGCTTATAAGTTGTATCAGCACAAACCATCTAAATATAACAAATATAAAAATTAATGATATAAAAAAAAACACATGTAAAATTGTAAGATTTCCTTTACCTCAAGAAAATATTAAAATTCTATTATTATTCTAGAATCTTGAAGAAACATTCTCAATAAATTCTTATCATTGTCCATTAATGATTCAATTGTATAGTTGTAGATATTTTTTACTTCTTCAATTTTTTCCTCAAAATTGTTGTTTTATGCTTTTGTGTCTCTATCAAATAATAAATAAATAATAAATGTAAAACAACAACCTAACTACAGGTAAACTAACTGTACTATCGATATTGGATGTCCTTTGAGGTTAGTATTTTGCCAGTTTAATTGTGGACTTTTGCCTGAATCAGCTTTTTACTCGCATTCAAATCAATCATCTCAATAATTTCATATTTGATTTGAGGAGCTAATCAACGCTAATTAGGTAAATTAGAAAATAGTATTTCAGACAAAGGATGATTATGGCTTTTAAGAAATTTACTTGAAATTTCTAATTCAGAGCAATCACTGATTACTCTCAAATATATGAATGCTGGACAATTTTGCTTCATAGTACTAGATAATGATGGTTCTAATTGTATTAGTCTTACCGACCATAGTCAGACGTATATTATATCAACTACGGTCATATTATGATACCGACCATGGTCGGGCGTATAGACACAGCGTAAAATAAACTACTTACAACACTATAGCTTGATTACCCAATGTTTACTCAATAATTACATAATAGGAAAAAAAAATTACCCACCCAAACAATTTAAATCCCATTAAGATTTTGTCAGTCAGAAAATGGAAAATCCGATCACATATTAATTACCAAGGTAATACTTGAACAGATGTTACATAACACGGTTTTTAATATATTTACGTTTTTTTCTAATACCTACAAACTCAGTTTCAAAGGACACACCCATTCGGTCATACGCGATTAATCCAAAACCATTAACTGCCCAAAAAAACGTTTGATGTCTAACACATTTTAACGATATTATTATTTGTAACGCCAAGTAATATAATAACTATATGTGTATACATGTTTTTTTATAATAGTACATTATACTTTATTCTAAATATCTAAGCAGATAATTGAGAAAACGCCCATAACTCACCTTTAAAAATGTCAGTCATTTAGTAATTTAACAAATAAAAATCATCAAAACAATTAAAATTTCAAATCAAATAACGTTTTAATAAACGAAAATCAAATAGTATACAGATTACTGAATTAAAAATATAAGCAAAACAAATTACAAACGTTCTCACATTTTCAACCAGCCAACGGAGTGAGATTGTTGATAAAATTGTTCAAAACACAAAATAATGCTATTCGAATGTGTTCTGTAATAATACAGATGAGATAACGAAATTGTAGATAAGTGTATCTACTTTTACAGTATGACCAACCGGACAGGATAATTTATTGTCAGTTTGCGGTCCGTTATTTTTCAAGAGATTCGCCGGTGCAAGAACACTGCGGTTGACGTTGATCGGAATCACTGTCAGAGATTAAAGATCCCGGTTCGTTTATAACGCGTACGGTTCCCCGCGGACTTGTCGTATTTAACCGAGTCCCAAATACGAGAACCGTTGTTATCCATCCGCTCGCGTCTCAGTATCGTGAGCGCGCGTCTCGTTTACAATGTTTACGTTGTTACGCAGTCGCGCGTTTGTCACTTCGGTTTTCGATTCTGGCGATGGTGTTTTTCGTGTCGTGTACTGCCCCGACCGAAACGGACGGCGCGTGAAACGATACGAGTGTGGCCGCGCAAGTGTGAAAATGGCCCGACTGGTAACTCGCGCACGAGTCCGCGGTTCGTCATCGGTCATACGAAACGTGTGCGAAACGCATTGTGTCGGTCTCGATTACGTGTATCGGTGCGCAGACACGAATACGGGACAATCGGGTTTTGGACCCTATTGTACGTAAAACGAACGCGTAGGTACAACGGTCCCGCGTCGCTCCCCCACTGGAATCGCTCGTGAGACGACCCGCCGCCGCCACTTCGGACCGTCTCGTTACGGCGGTCGTGTAAAACAACCGAACCGGTTAGCCGCGAACCCGAATAGGTTAAATCTCACGAACTTCTGAAAACCACACCGGTCCTCAATGTCCGGCCAACTTCTTTTATCGTTTGACGCGGAACGTAATTAATTTTAAAATTTACTACGCAGGCACGTAGGTGTTGATGAGTTCAAAGTGTGACGCATAAAACGTTCGTAGTTTACGGACTTTACGGTACGAAATACCTGAAACGGACGCGATCTCAAACCGTATAGGTGTTTACACGCGCGGTGAGTTTACGGTGGCGCACGCACGGTTATTAATTCTATTCTAATTATTGTTCTCGCGTCTGCGCTTGCAATCTGAACAACGTGATTTTTGTCCGCCACGTTCGGCCGTTATTTGTTTTTATTGTACCGTGTGAACGCAAGCGGCGATGGAAGTCGATCGGACAATATGCCGCGAAAACTGATCCGTTTCTGCGGTTCGTAATATGACGCGTTCGGTTTTTTAGATTACCGTCGAGATATTTTTCGTCTCGAGTATCTGTTGAGTAGGTGCGGGTGAGTAAACACTACTCCGTTACACCGGCGCTTTAAAAAAACGACGGTTTTTTTTTTAAGTTTTAAACTTTTCGACGATTTGCGAATGTCTCCGCGTGTTACACAACCGAATCATCGAACAGTTGCCGTGACACAATTGTTCGTATTGATGTGTACAAACTGTAGGTACGCGGCTACGAATTGTTTCCCGTAACAATTTCAATACCTGTATTTCCCCGGTAGCGCGGGCAGGGGTTTTTTCCGGAGGGGGGGAGGGGTGATTGCGCTTAAGAATAATTCCTGTCCGGGCCGGGCCGGAGATTTTCGTAGAACCCTGCGCCGAAAATTATGTAAAATAATCACCTGCCGCGTGTGCGCCACTGAAGAAGTACTCCACGCTAGTTTGTATACGCGAATTCCGCGTTGCACTCAACTCGAGCACGCTCGGTCGAACCGAGTATTTTCGAAAAAAAAGTTTTCGCGCGACGTGTTTTCCGGCCGTTGCGCCGTTATAAATCGTACGTACCTAAATAACAATTATCGCCCGCTTTAAAACAATATCGTAATTTCATCGTTAACGCAATCGATTGTTTGCGTGCCGGTCGCGAATTAAAAATGAACGGTACGTATTTTCAACGCGTAATATTCGCTGTACCCTGAAGCGGCGTGTTTGCCATTTGCGCGCCGTCCCAACCCCCCCCCCCACCAACTTCGTAAACATTTCAAGAGTTTCTCTTTAGGTCCGCCGTGTGTCGGGGTGAGCTATATGAGAGTGTGAAACTGTGAACGTCCGCAACAATCGTAATTTCGCCGTGCTCTACGTTTATAACAATAACGGGCGGTGGACGTATGATTTATATCGTACGCGATAATAGTTTTCTAAACTCCAATCGCTCATCGCTAAAGCCGGGGTTCGTACCGCGCCAACGCGGCGTATCGTACGGACCTGTACCGCGCCAACGCGGCGTATCGTACGGACCTGTACCGCGTACCTACGGCCCGCGTCTTGGCTGGCGTGCGATCAACGCGTTCCGATTGACCAAACGGTTTGACGATTGACTATCCGCGTGCCACCCGGTTCAGCCAATCGGGACGCGCGGTGTAACGGAAACTCAAAACTAGTAGCACGATTGTCCGTAACAGCGGTTAGTAGTTTTCGTCGTTTTTTTTTTTATGTTTTTTTCCTATTTCTATTTCGTCACGGCATACGCGACGGAAAACCGTAACACCGTCGGTAGAAACTACACCTGGCCGCCGCGCTGTTGGGTCAACCGAACGCGGAAACGGTTTTTTCACGGGCACGGTATTAAATCGTCTTCGATCTCTGTTGGACAATTAGTGGGTGTGTGACGAAATAGCCATTTTATAACGCGTATAACATAATAAGCAATATTGAGACGACAGTAATGCATTCAATTTCCGGCCGACAAATTCGCCAATACGGCATTTCATTTCACGTGCTCGGGTTTTAATTTTAATAATATGCCTTTATAGTGTTTCTTCCTGTGTGTGTGTGTGGATACCTAAAAACCTAATTGTAAGAAGTAGGCACTGAAATTTGCAGAGAGTAAAAACGCGTAGGGATATTTTATTTCGTTTTGATATATACCTACGAACATTTTTATTCATTTTACGTTTACGAATTTGTTCGTGTTACACGTTCTTTTCAAAACGTCTTTATTCCCTGACAATAATTTGTACATTAATATTTCGAAACGTAAGTATCGTACAAATTCCCGATACCTGAAAAAAAAAAAAAAAAACTATAGTAGGTGATTATTGAATAGAATACACCAATAATTTCTCGAAATCATTAGGTTGTCATGATGTCATCATTCGGTTTATTATGAAATACATTAGATATTAACATATTTTTCTTGAAATCAAATTACTATACTATTATTTATATATAATTGAATTATACGCCTAATATTGAATCGTACGAAAAAGGCTAAACACTTTTGAAACCATACGTGTTGAGTGTATTTAATTATAATATTATAATATCTGAAGTTTCGTTTAATAAGTCGCATAGTATTTCCACTTGTTATGTAAAATTTGTTCCGAAAAATGTCCGGGTTAGGTGTCGATAAAATTTATTTACGAATGAAAAAACTAGTAAAACGTGTTTTTATTGGATTAACAACATCTTTTCTCTGGTGTAGTATTATTTGCCTATGTAATTATTTATGTGGCGTTAATTGTAATTTTCTAATGTTTTACAATAAATTTAAATTTAATATTATAATATTTGTTTTCCAAAACAGAGCGTGATTTTTAAACGGTTGTGTTATTATTCTAGTATCTGATTGACGATTTTTATCGAATTTTGATTGTACGATAATACGATTATATTTAAGAAGTATTCTGAGCGAAAGGACGGAGTTTTTCTATACATAGATAGGCCCTAATAAATCCAACCCGGTAAAAGAAATGCGCTTATCCGTGACTGTACTTAAATTATATTATAATTGATGAGATACGTTTTGATTGTTAAATATCGTACATTTTAAATCAAATCATAATCATTTTAATAATTATTGATGCGCAGGCGTGATTACTTGCAAAAAGCACGAGGTTAGATTATTCAACGCGTATTGTAACTTGTTCAGTTAAAATTATTATTTGTATAATAAATATTTAAGTTTTAAACGGAATCTATTGGAGAGCACTGTTTTGAATAGCACGCAGTTTTTAGTTTTGCCCGCGGAATCGAAGATTAAATAGTTTATAACGATTTACGGCATATGCACGTGACGCGTGGTCTTGTCGATGGCACTCGGACGGTACGGGCACAAAACGTTTAAATTATTGTTTGGTGAACCACAAACGGGAATTTTCGCAAGAATTTCTCATAATTTTTTTTTAATAATATGCGTGCCGATGATGATAATAACTGTTCTGTCAAAACGAACCCGAGTGTATGACGTGGGCAATGCGACGTGTGGATAATAACAGGTATTTCTGACAAATAAGCGTTTAATTTCACCACGCTCTAGGCACCTATTAATTAATGCTGTCTAATTACCTACGGCGATAGTAAATGTACGCGTAATCATATTGCACACATTATTTCGGTATGTGATCTATTGAACCGTTCGTATTTATCAATAACATAATTATGCAGTTCGCGGAGATTATACTTCCTATCATACTGAAACAGTATTGTACGAACGTTATAAATGAAATCGCATATCGCGTTCGACGGACCAGCTGCCTACCGGCCCAATCTAATAAATAATAACTATACCAAAATACGCGTAACATAAAATATTGTGTACACTTCAGTGTTAATAGGTTCGTGTTATTGTAAATTACATATTACATTTGGATCGTTAATACACGAACACCCGCAAACATCATGAGCGAACGAGTAGACCTGAACGTACCCCGTTGGGACCAGTCCCAGTATTGGGGCCGAGTTATGTACTTTCTCACCACTACTAATCCTATAAACTTGTTCAAGTCCAATTCCGAATTGGAGAGATGCAATCGAATCGTCAACAGTTATAAGTGAGTGTTACATAAAAGGTGAGGTATATGATATACTAACTCTAATCTCTACACGACTGTAAAAGGACTGTAGGCGGTTTTAAAAGGAATAAACGTCGGTTGAAATTAGTTGTTTTTTTTTTTTTTTATGCAGGAAAGGCGAAGAGATACCCGATGGATTGACATTAGACGACGTATACAAAGCCAAAGACGTGGTCGATTCAGCGTATCATCCGGAAACGGGAGAAAAAATGATCATTGTCGGTAGAATGTCTGCCCAAGTGCCCATGAATATGCTGGTTACCGGCTGCATGATCACGTTTTACAAGTGAGTGCGTATTGTAATACCTAATAATATTGATCTCGTATACGTACAATTATGATAATGTACAAGTTGGTCGGTATGGATTTTGAGCGTAGCGAGGGATCTATTGGTTTTACTGTGTTCTTTGTCTGTGTGTGTAAACAAATTTTTTTATCAGAAATCTTGTTCCAATCAAACTCGACAATCATTATTGTATGAGGTTGTTGGGTTAGGGTATAGCCGTATAGGGAATCATAACTTAAACACTAATGATAATGAAAATTATTATTTTTAAACAGAACCACACCGGCAGTTATTTTCTGGCAATGGTTCAATCAATCGTTCAACGCCTTGGTAAACTACACCAATCGAAGCGGTACATCACCCATGCCCCTCGAGTATTAAAATTTATTTCACTAATTATATAACTTTAGTTTTATATGTTAATAAACGTACCCATACACCATTCTGAATTATTGTCAATTATTTTGCATTTAAAGGCAAGTGGCCAAGTCGTACGTATTAGCCACCAGTGGTGCATTAATTACAGCATTGGGTTTGAACAAACTGGTTAAAGTAAGTAATAACTAAGTATACCAATAGTTACAATAATATTTAATTTTTTTATTATTTAAACATTTTTTTATCGATTTTTATTAGTTACACAGTTTTTTTAATTTTATTTTGAAAAACTCATTGGAATAGAATAACATATTTACAGAAAGAAATATGAATGAAAAATAATATTATGTGTAAAAAAAAAAAAATACAGTTTTATGAAATAATTTATGCTACATAGAAAAATGTAAAGTATGTCTTATAAAATATTATTAAGTATTTATGATGGTAATATTAAAAGCGGTTTTACTCACATCCTATTCACAGACCTAACTAACATATTGTTGATAGATGTACTACAAACTTAAATTATATATTTTGTTATAAGTTATAACCATGTATTTTATTCATTTTACATTTTTACATTTTTTTTAGAGATTGCCTACTGTTGTTGGTCGTTTTGTACCGTTTGCAGCTGTTGCTGCTGCCAATTGTATTAACATACCACTAATGCGAATCAAGTATAAACACGACCTATCATTATTTACCTTTCAATAAATTAAAAACATGTTTTGCTCTTCAATTTAGGGAACTGGATAATGGAATTGAGGTGTACGATGAAAATAAAAATCTTCTTGGCCAATCTCAGTCAGCAGCTCGTACTGGTATTTCAGCTGTGGTATTAAGTCGTATTGTAATGTCTGCTCCTGGGATGAGTAAGGACTATACAATTTATTATTTCCTCATACAATTTATTTAAAAAGTGTAAATAATCGTTTATATTTTTGTTTTAAATTTAAGTTTTAACACCTGTTATAATGGAAGCGATAGAACGAAGAGGAATTTTAAAAAATATGAAATGGGCCCCAGCACCATTACAAATTGCGTTGTGTGGAGTCTTTTTAACTTTTGCCACTCCAATGTGTTGTGCATTATATCCACAAATATCACCAGTATCAATTCAAAAACTTGAACCTGAATTGCAGGTAATGAATGAAATAAAAATGTGTTTGTGATTCCAAAACTAAAGTTTTTAGTAAAATTGTCGAGTATTTAAATCAAACATTTACACTCTGTTTAAAAAATATTTTGTTCCAGTAATACTTTACAGTATTATTACAGTTTTAATTTTTATCAAATTTCTATTTATGTTTATTTAGTAGAACACATTCCAATTCATAGTACTATAGTAGTAGTACCTACCTATATAAACAATTCGAGGCCAAAGAAAAGTAGCTAGGGAATTGGTTATTGATTGAATTTTTAATGTGAATAGTACACCTACCTTTAAATTAACAATTAAACGCAAAATAGTTGATATTTTTTTTTTTTCATTTAGGAGGTTTCTGATATAAGCGATTTTTTAACTTTTATTTATTTAAATTCATTTATGGAGAAATATTTTTAAAATTTCATTGATTATCATAGGAATTGGTATAATAGGAATAAGTATGGTGTCCATTTTTATAAATATATAATATTATATTAAACAAAGAGATAATTTATTTTATAAATAAATCAAACAAAAACAATAATATGTATTGTATGTATAGAATATAGATATTAGACATAGTATCTATAGTTATATATTTTTATATGTATTACAAATATTCACCTTTGGAAGAACCAGTATCATTACCTATAATTTCCTGTTTTACTAAACTAATTTCAGTAATTAAGTATAAACTGATGAAATATTGACCTATGGTAAATATTTGTAATATACCTATAAATCATTACTATATGAACTACAATTGTATTAATTTGTATTATTCGTTCACTTCATATTTACAATCAAATTTTACTTTTATGTTTGTTATATAAAACAGAAAAAAGCAGAAAAGTTTAACTCAAAAATTGGATATTACAACAAAGGCCTGTAGTATCATCATTCAACCGGTAGATAATTATTGAATTTGAAATTACCTAATTAAAACACCTTATTGTATGCATAATATGTCAGCCGCCAGGACAGTAACTTGATATTGGAAGAAATTTGAAAAGTATCTAAGGATTTAAGTAATATACTATAATACCAACATTTTATTATTTTACACAAATTGTTATACAGTACTATTATTGTTTGCCTAAAGCTATTGATTGGTACTAATTTAAAGTATCTTTATTTTTTTTACATACTTATTCATTCTAATCATTAATTACCAGACAAATACTATTTAGAAGGTAAAAAAAATCTTACACCTTGCACCAGTAGTCTAATTTTTTTTATTAGTTTATTACCCTGTCAAACATATAAAAACTTGTTTATATAATAGTAATGAATTATATTTGTATAATTTTGGTTTTTTTTTTCATTAATAAAGTGAACAATTTAAGTATTAAATTATTGATACATAATGCAAGCGTTAACTGTATTATTATATATTAAAAATTATGGTTTGTGTACACAAATAATTAATTTATAGTGGGCTGTTTAGTAACTTAGAGGTAATTAACCCATCTGGGAACTGCAATCATGACAATGAGATCTTTTTTGTTACATTTTGATTCTATACGCTGTTTCTAAAGAGAACATACCACTTTTGCCACCAAATGAAAACTGATTAAGAAAGTTGTATGTCCTCTTTTGAAATAGGGTATAGGTATATTAGAAATGCCATTTATTGATTTTCTTAATTTTACTAATTTTTATTAATTCCGAGGAATTTTCATAATAATTAGAAAAACTTAAAAACAAAATTATAGGAAAAAAGGATAATTATTTACAGCGCACCATGGAGTTACCGATTTCATTTATTTTATATGTAAGATTTATGTATTGATTCTATCGAAAAATTGTTTGTTGTATTTTTGAATTAGTTGGTAAACATCAGTTTTTAATTTACCAAGTATTTTTCATAATAATTGGGAAAAACCGTATGAAAACCTTAAAAACACAAGATCCTTAAAAGTTGTACTTGGTGGTAAAAAAAAAATAAAAAAATGTGAGCATAAATTTTGTATAATTCATAAAAATATTCCAAAACGGTTTGATGTTTTTGAGTTGAATAACATTAATGAATTCAAATTTTACTCATATATAATTTAAAAATTTAAATAATATGACTATAAATCGACATAAAGTTCACTTAAAGTGTTAACAAGCGATTGAAATAAATTGGTTTAAGAATATAGTTAATGTGAGTGACACTCATTAGAGATGGCTTGTTACATGTGGTTAAAAAAAATGCTCATCACAGTGGACAACCAATATTTTTTTCTTGTTAATGATACGCCATTAAAAATGTTTTCACAAATATACTATTCAATGACAATTTCTAAAAGTTCTTCGTAGCAAATTGTATTTTATATTGTATAGTAGGTAAGTATGCACATTTATGCACTATATTTTATTTACATAATCTCATTTATTATTTATTATTCACTATTGTACAATAGGATATTTACAATTGGATGTATTAAAAAAATACAATTTAAAAATGATTACCTATATAGGAAAATTGAATTGAATTAAAAATGATGACTAGAAGGAAATTCGTGTCGCCAAAAAAATTCTAAAGAGATAATTATCAATCCTCATAGTATTGTAACTAAACCTAATTGCCCAATCTAGAACAGAGGTGGACTGCTGGTGTTCCGCGTAGATATTAATTCGTTTTTTATTTGGCCAGTGCTACATTTCCAAGTTACTTCATATTATTTTAACGTTTGTATAAAATGTCATTTGTATTCATAAATTACATTGTTTGTAGAACGTGTAAGTACATTAATTCTTATCTGGTACCTATTGAATTGCAGCTAAATTATTAAACGTCTAAGTATATAACTAATAGGTTCTTATTTTATTATATATTAGTTTTATCGTATATCTACGTCATATTGCGTTAGTGTTGGTTTTATTATTTTAGTGTTTAGTAATGACTAGTGCTTCAAAAATGTCCACTAAAAAAGCGTAAAATTAACGACGAAAATAGAACGTTTAACAGCTAGTATTTGGAGGAACTTGATTGTGAGTATTGTATGGTGTTAGCTATGCGATGGTTAAGTCACGGAAAGTGTTTTAAACGTTTTTTTTTTTTTTTTGATAAAATAAATACTTCAGTACTAAGTTCACAAAAATGAATATTATCTACGACTGATAGATACTACTTAGTTATACTTGGAAAACCAAATGGTTGATAAGCAATTAAGTAATTTCTATGTTTATTAGAATTTTTAACTGATATATATATAAGGTTGAAAACAAACAAATATTTCTCAAATTATTGGGGTTTCAGGTGGATTCAGAAAAAATCTGGTAAGTAATAAGAATTTAAAAATATTAATTTTTGTAAATAAATTAATATATTTTTCGTGTTGTGTAGGTGTAAAAAATAAAATTGATTGAAAGGATCCAAATTATTCGCATCATACCTTAAAAGATGCGGATTTTTCGCCCGGTAATGTTTTCTTTATAAAAATGTCTAAATTCTCGACTAGTTTTTCAAATATAATTGAAAAGAACTACCGATAAATGTCGATACATCGGTTGTATTTTCGTTGATTTCTGGGTAACCGAATGGTTACAGTTTTTTAAAAAAAACACGACTAAAATCACCAGGCTTAAGAATCGTATTTTCATTTGCAACGCGATTTACCGTTGCACACAATATGCAAATACAATTATCCTGCACGTCCTACACTCCCTTTTATTCATCTAGAACAGTGGCCCATCCGCGAACTAACTTATTTAACTCGATCAAAATAATATATAATTGTTTCGCGAAAATTCTCTATTCCGACGTGATTGAAACTGCAACGGTATTAATGTTTGTGTGTCCCGTGGAACAGGGACCTCGCACGTACACCGACCCAATAACCAATAACAACCGGAATTATTGTCGTACGATTCGTGCGTCGTAAACAATAGGCCAACAATCGATCGTTATTATTAGACGGTTAAGTACAATATCATCGGTAATAATATGTTGTTATTGTTTAACACTCTTGCGTCGTGCCCACACGAACAATTAATATTCGACGGTCTTTTAGTGGTTGGTCGTTGTGGAATTTACAATTTGTGTGTACGCATAGTCGTTCGACTCCTCGGGAACCGCGACAACGCAATCAACAAATCAACCGACGGTACAATAGGGTACTATATACTAACCGGACGCAAGTCAACAACGCGTGTTTTATTTAGGCGCGGTTTTTTTTTTTTTTTTCAAACGTCTCATAAGTCACAACAATAGTACGAGTATTTCTATACGCAGACAAGGCGTGCGCGGGGCAACCCGCATAAATTTGTGACAGCGCCTATCTTATGTAAATAGCGTCGGACCGACATCGTTTGCGCACACGGTCAGGGACGGGTTCGGCGCGAGAAAAGGAGTGGCGGCGGTGGCGGTTGGATGGGTGGGTGGGCGNGGGGGGGGGGGGGGGGGGGGGGGGGGGGGGGGGTGAGAGAGAGAGGACCGATTTCGAAAATCGACAACAAAAGGGGCGCGCGTCGCCATGACGGAAATCGAGCTCGGAGCAGCACCCGTGCACGCTGGAGCCGAGAGCAATGGCGCGCTTCCCGCTCCCCGCCGGGACCGTCACTCTGTACGCGGTCGCGGATTAAAAACGACCGGCGAGCTTGCGGGGTGACGGCGATAACGGAGCCGGGAACTCGTAGGCATAACGCGATGTGTCGTAACGCGGTTGTTTTTATTTTTTTTTTTCTCACTCGTTTTGCCTCCGTACGGGCAGCAAATATTATTCGAGAATATCACGCGGACAACGCCGCCGGCGTAACGCGATCGGTTAAAATTCAGACGCGATCGATTGTCACCGGGCCGTTGCCGTCCGTATAGTCTGCAACGGTTGTTAATCGTATTTAACGTTACGTTTCGCGCGCTTGTGTGTGTTTGTGTGAGTGTGTGTGTGTGTGTGGCGCGGGCGCGCGCGTGTGTGAAAACGAAATTTTTCGTCGGAAAAAAAAAAAAAAAAAAACAACAACAACAAACTATTCGGTTCATACTATATGGTCACATTGCTGAACGCACGCACTCCCGGTAGCTATCTTCTCGGGATTAATGTTGTAATGGGCGCGGGCACATAACGCTTTTACACCATTTCAGTTATTCATCCCGCGGCCGTGCGCGCGCGATATTCAGTTTGTATTTGTGCCGTGGTGCGGCCGCCGTCCGTGTCGCGTGCGCGTCAAGTTCCACTGCTGCGCGGTGTCGCGTCAACGATACCACACACGGCACTTGTAACCGCGGTCGCGGTGAATATGCGACGCCGGTAGTGAGACGAGAACGAGTGGCCATCATGCCGTCGCGTCGATCGTAGGCGACGACCGCGGATCACCCCGGACGCGCGGCGACGACACCGGGAACAACTGTGAGTGCACGATTTTTTTTTTCAGTAAATTAACAACGATCCGGTACATAGTAATGCGGTCTGGCGGCTACCGTCGTCGACGGAGTAGCGTATGAAAAAAAAAAAAAAAAAAAACCGCGAGCGCCAACGATAATTCGATTGTTCTTTAAAACGAAACGCAGCAAATAAATAAGCAAGCGAAGTAAGCGTAATCAAATGGATGCTTGTTTATTCCGACAGACGTTATCGACGCCGTTTTACTCGAATTAAAATACCGATATTCAATAAACGGTACGGCGGCGTATAACGTTTTTAATAACACGGCGGATAATCGTTGACGGATCATTATTACGAGCGTTTTTTTTTTTTTTTTCCTACGGTTAATGTTCTTCTGCTACACGTGAAAATATTGTCGAAATCATTACGGGCATTGCGCACGGCTTCGTAATATTAGCGTACAGCAGTAGGTAATTATTGCGTCTCGCCGAATTAAACAAAAATTAAACATTATTAAAAATCTATATTGCGGTATTATAAGTAGCGTGGTTATAGATAAACAGCATTGTGTGACGACGGGCCGTACGTGAGTCATATTATATTTATTCGTTTGTACGCGTATTTTATGTGCCTCGAACAAAAAAAAAAAAAAAATCAAATCCCCACCCGGCGCGTGTACTTACCTATACCGCGTGCGGTTGACGTCACATTTATGTAAATTGCATACTATTCTTATCGATATTAAATTTAAATACATCTATTTAACGTTATTATTGTTACATTTTTTTTTTTAATCGCGCTTCGTATAACATTGTTGTTTCAATAACGATCGTAAATTGTGTAACCGGGCCGGTATTATCGACCGCGGACCGCGGGAGAATCGTATTTTCGAGTTTTTTCCGAGAATTCGTATCGACGGACGTGATAATATAGGAATGATTACAGAAATGCCCGGGAGAGGGAAAAATTAAGAAAAAAAAAAATAAAAAAAATGCGTATAAATAATATATTTCGGTCAGTGGCGTGTCCGGGAATTATCATTGTGGGGGGGAGGGGGAGACGTATCAAATAAGAATCACGAATAAATCGTAAATTCGTTTTCTCTACCCAAATTGACCGTGGGAATCGGTAATTTAAAAGCCGGATCCTAAAAAATTACGATTTCCAATCAACATGTCAAGTATTTTCCTCGTAACTTGGCTGAAATATATGCGTTTCGACGTTAGATTGCTCATATTTTTGTTTGTTTTTTAAGCCAACGTGAGGGGGGATATAACCCCTAACCTCTCCCCCTATTGCGCACGCCACCGATTTCGATAAAACCCGACGTTTTTCAACGCGCATTCAATTTCAATTATTATTTTTTGTCGTAGCTTTTCTTCTCGGGTTCGGGGTGTACTTTTGGGGGTACAATATAGGTACACATTTGTTTACCGCATTCTAAACAAAAACTCAATGCTCCGTACAAAAAAAAATAAGCGCTAAACTACTGCGATAATGTGCATTTTAATTTTATATTGCATTAATATTGTACCCATACATAGTATAATTTGTTTCTGGTTTATTCTGGTTAAAATATATGTTTTAGCCGTGTTCTTGTTGGATAAATACCCAATAATTATTAATTAAACGAGCCCATCGTATAAAATGAACAGTATGAATGTATTTATTGCATAATTTATATTTAAAAATTATGATCAAAAACAATCCTCTGCTCCTGTGCCCATGCGGTTCTGATCGGCCATTGGATTTGTGTGACGAGCGAGTTATCCATACCTAATACACACGGTATAATGTTACCGAGGAGAATATATATGTTACCACACTGGTTACTTGTGGTCAGCGTTTCTTTCAGCCGATGTTCTCCGGAGTGGGAGGGGGAGGGTATTTGGGAAAAATTAGAGGGAGCGGGATCATTTATATTACATCAAGAAAAACAAATTGTTTGATAATAATTAACTTTTTTTTTTTAAATTTAAGAAGTTTTGACAAAAAAACCAGCTCTAAAATATTACATACCATCATTTTAGTCATCCCTATTTTTGAGGGTGAAACGATTAGGTATCTACTTTTGATTTTCGAATGACAATCTGTATTAAAAATGACACAAATGTATGGAGTATTAGTTTGAAAATAATTTAGTAGGTATTTAAATTTTTAATTTCCATCAATCCGTTAACGAGATAGTTCAGTTTTAAGTTCAGGCATATACAAATAAGCAAATTAGTTAGGTTATACTAGTTTTCTAGAAAAAAAAAAATATTACACCTACATCCTATACACATATGATTCATACATCATAGCATTCATTCATGTACATAACTTAAAAGTTGAAAAGCTGTCTTAGGATAATGGAGACGGGTGCAGCACTGTTATTCGTGAGAAGTGACTAATGAAATATTTGTTTGATATTATTTTTGGTATTCAATAATATTTACCATCGCCGCTGTATCCAACAATATTGTCTAAGCAAATAAGGAATTAATGATTTCTATCATTGGAAAAATGACTTTAAAATTAGAGTAGGTAGGTTATTCACCGTGATATCAAAATTAAATTAATCTAATATTTGATATTTCTCTACTATTCTTTAAATTTTCTCCGGGTAGGTAGGGCCTTGGACATTCTCCAGGGGTGAGGGGTGTCAGCCTAACGTGACTGAAAGAAACACTGCTTGTGGTTATAGTAGTGGTTTACTGTAGTATAGTTATCTATAGTTATAAATTGATAATATCGAATAAGCCTGTTATAATTGTGGGTATTTTAGTATTTTTTTAACATGTTTATATTGTGGTTTATCGTCGATAAACCGTCTTTTCATTCGTAAGTAGCTAATTAAGAATTGAGTAATTTACTTCAACATTATAATATATATTTTATTTCTCAACATTAGAGATTTCCCAAAGGACAATCTTGCGGCTAAATATATTAAACTTGACAAGCGCTGGCCAGTGAGATAAAATTTGTTCGAACCATTCTAAAATTAATCAACGTAGACTGTTGAGTCTATGGAGTATGACAAGTCGTAATCGGATATAACCATCGCGGTAATATTTATTCACTTCGGGCATACGCCAAACCACTTAATGCCCTATCTATGTGTAATAAATAATATACGTACACGACGTGCATTACGAGAGATGAGAGAGATATTGGTAACCAGGGTGACCAATATTATATTACAATAATATGTATTTACCTATAGGCTATAATCCGACTTGGGCAGTATTTCAAATAATTTTGTAGAATGATTTGTATTTTGGATTTTCAATATGTAGGTAAAAAATATCGAGAACAATTTGTTCTTAAATCTTCGAAATCCTTTTGAAAACAGTTTTGCGTTGGGATCATTTATTACTTATTTATTATTAACATAATAACTATGATGATTAATAATAATTTATTATTTACAGATAATTGACTAATGTTATTAGATGTGTACATATTCTTTACTAATTTTTTAATATTTTAAAATTATAGTCCGTATCAAATATTATTTACTGAAGCTACGATTTTTAATCGTATCACTTAATTAGTTAACTGTCTATATACATTTTGAAAAATTGGATTTTTAATATTAATTTTAAATAAAATCTAGAATTTGGATTTTAGATTCTGAGCGGAGCGAAGAACGTATGGTTTTACAATGATATTTATTTATTTTATTTTTTTTGATCTGTAAACACCTTCTATACCAGAAATTTTGATCCGATTTTCGAAAGTAGTACTTTTTCTAAAAGAAAATATCTGATTGGGAACTTTAGGAGGTCATTTTTTTTATTTTCTCAAGGATTTTCATAATGAATGTGAAAACTGTATAATTTACGAAATTTATTATTTTCAAATCGTAAATATTACGGTCTTTCAAAACATATACAACCGAACTCTGCTCAGAATCGTTTTTCGTTAGCAAAATTTAATCGTTGCAGACAGATAAACATTACATTTCCACTCTAACTTCCCAACTTGTCACCTACAACCAGTGTTGAATTCAGACGATTTTTCAAAAGGGTGCATTACTAAAATTATAGTAATACCCTTTTTTTTTTTTTTTTTTACTTACCTATTTTGGGTTGTTGCTCCCCCTCTGACATATACCTGGATTCAACACTGCCAACAACAGTGGCCCATCCATCGTGTGCGAAGTATGTCGTTTGTTTTTAAAATCCATTTTTAACACATTTTGACCAATTTCAATATTGGGTATAGGTATTACAATAAATGTATCTAATACGCATAAGAACAATTATTGTTCTTACATGAGAAAAATGTCCCTTCTCATTTATCAGTATCCGGAATGGCGTAAAACAAACAACGTTTAAAGCCGTGTAAGTATTATATACAACGATTTGTACGTCTCATTTATTATATACACGTACACACACGTGGGTAATAGAAACGCGTACGGAACAACATTGGGTATCCGTCGAGTTCAGTAACAGTGTCGGATTCCCGCCAAAACCAACACCACATTGTCTGCAGATGTTCATTTTTTTTTCCTTCGTCCGGACGCTAAATATAATAAAATATCGAACTGTATACGTTTCGTTTAATATTATAGTATATTGTATATTATCACATTAAAAATAAAAAAAAAAATGCTTCGATTATGTCGGTAATATAATCAAAGGCTATTTCTGCATAATATTACAGTTTCGAGTGAATCGTATACGATTCTATTTTTATTAGGTATATTTTTCCATTTATCATAGGTTTTTATGATGAATTTTATATTATTGTATTATTATAACCTACCTATTATTTTTATTCATTCACTCCTACCTCCGAATGGACGTTATAATTTCGAATTTACAGTAGAAAAATGAAAATGCATTATAATCTATACAAATCTATACAGTGTTCAGTTTTTGGCCACATATTGTGAATTACTATTATAACATTAAGAAAACGATGTTTTCAAAATTAACGAAAATATTATTTACAGAGTTTTAATATGTAGGTTATTATTTGAAAATTAAGTACATAATTTAGTCTACATAACTACTCGGAAGTTCATTATAACGGCTATGCAGTAAGTCAAAGTCCTTTCAATGGTTATCATTCCGATTAATATTTTATAACAAGAACAATAATTTTTCTTATTATTCTATACATTTTCATTTTTTTTTTTTTAAGTCTATTAAGTAGTTTTCCGAGTTTTCGCTCCTAACACTATCCGATCCTGAAAAATATTTCTTTCAATCGTTCACTGCTAAACTTTCCAAATTCTTTTGAACCACATTTTGATCACCGTTTACCGAACCTCCCACAAGGGGTTCTTCGCTTCCGGTTTCCAATAATTCACAATCGTTTTAAATGACGTTTTCATCATTTCCACGAATTACGGGTTCGAGTCATTGTAACCTTGAAGTTTGTGAGCTGTGACTGGGACCATTACTACTAGTTGGCTCTCAATTTCCTAATTATAGTTTCCGAGTGAAATATTAAAAACAGAATTAAAAACTCACAAAAATACATTTCCCTCTTGTTTACATAGAATTACAGGTGTCTAATAAACACCTCAAATAAATGCGTACAAAGCGGTTACTGTCGTTGGAAAAAAAAATCGGTAGTCACATCGAAAAGCTATAGAGAATTGATTTGGATTGATTAGCAAGTTTATCAGGTTTTGACGGTACGAGAACCGTTTAGATTTTCTCGTGATGAATAAAACGTGTTTATAATCCGCGATGATAAGACCATAACTTTTTTATTTAAACCAATTTTTACTACGTTAGGGAACCAATTCGAACAGTTTAATGGTACCGTGTAATTTTCATCGGGAACCAATTCTTTATAGTTCCTCTACTCGCTTTGGCGGTAATTCGTTATCGAATTATATACCTCCTCCACCCTTCCAGAACCGTTGACGAACGTACAGTCGTTTTTAATGAACAATAGAACGAGGTTGCCGTAATTAAAATGTGTAAATTATTCCATATACCTATATATTTTTTTTAAAAAATATAAATTAATCGTTCCTATATAATATTGTTACAATTGTTTGCGGCGCGAGAAATTAGATTTGCCAATTATTTTACTCCATTTAACCGTGACAATAGTCGGTACCTACATAATACAATGCATCAAATATTTTGTATTCGTGTAAAACGCTCAATTGCATTATTAATTAGGTGTAGGTACCGTATTTACGCGAATGCAGAGACGGCTTACACGTCACTCGTAGAAGTGCAGCAGTATTCTCAACCATTTTACCGAGGCCGATGTTAACGGTAATTGTGTACGATATAATACACTCGGAAATTCGCCGAGGAATTATTATATTTAATGACTAGAATTTTTTTTTTTTTTTTTATTCATACATCATCACAATATTATTATTGTCGGCACTCTTTATAATATTATACACTCGTATATTCGCGTTGTTGTATACCTTTGTGTACGACCATTTTACATTGACGCGACGTATCTATTCAATTGCAATACAAAAAAAAAAATATATAATAATAATAATAAATAAAAAATTAGGTAGGTACTCCTCGATTACAAGGTATAAAAATTTCAACGTGGCATTTCTTTTATCGTGTCTTATTCATTGACTTGTATTCGGTTTCAAGTCCAAAGGCGAAATGTGATGATCAAACTATTATAATATTTAGATGTATACTATTATTATAATAATTATTGTGAGTACTTTATAACGGTGCAATATTTATCGTATACGATTTAAAATATGGTATTTTTTTTAAATAAATATTTATTTGAATAAAAAACAACAATGTGTGCAAACGAACGGGTATGTATACTATTATATTACACTTTGTATCTGTATCGAACAAATATTTGAAAATTTGTTCAATATTTTTTTTACTAAATATTTAAAAAACGTTTATTATTCATCGCGTAAAAATTTCGAAAAAAAAAAAAAAAAAAAAATCGACGTGTAAACATGAATAACGTTCTCTTACGTTAAAAGCTTGAAAAATTATAGGCTAATTATTCGCTCATTAGAGCGTAATATTCAATAAAAACTAACGGCGTAAAAATAATTTGGTGAACGCACATTTACCATGTTATAATACCACGTTTACCGTGCCCATAGGTTGAAATTGGAGTTTAAACTTATAAATTATACAACATTTAAAGAGAAGTTATTTTCGAGGGCTGTAAGCGATTAGTTTTTTTTTTTAAAAAAAAAATCGTCCTACAAAAGTTAAGGCTAAGTACATTGAAAAAATAATGTACAAATCGTGTTGATAATATACTGCAGGTGCATTTACAATTATTTTAAAATCGAGTTCAATTTTCGAGACGATTTTGTTGAAACATCGACTTATTCGATCCGAGCGCATTTCGACCCGGCGACGTATTTACCGACTCGTTTTTCGAAGGACGGGTAGGGGAAAGCATTAACACAATTTGACCGGCCGAATCCATCTAAATCACACCGAGCCCACAAACATCGTAGAAGTTGAGTGCATCCGGTTCGGCCTTTACTTGTTTTGTATAACTTGAGTGTTCCGAGTGCAATATTCGACTAAAAATAAAATTGAAAACTCGTCCGAACAAACAGCCTGAAATTGGATAGGACGAGCGCAAATTGGCGCAGGCGTGTGTGTGTGTGTGTGTGTCGGTTGTAAACCCAATATCATAAACTAAATTTAAATTTAAATACTATGTAGGTAGTGCTCGACAGTGTTTATTTCATACATTCATACCCGAAGGGGGGAGGGGAGGTATCGTAAATTTCCAAGGGTACATGCCAAAAGGCGGTTATAGGAATATTAACACCTGGGGACAAAATTAATAAAATACGCTCGACGACGAATTTTTCGTAGCTCGTTAAAATACGGTTATTTATATAACACGGTATATTTTTTTTATTTCATTGTCAATAAGATGAAACAATCGGCCCATTTCACGTATACTACATCATAATATCATCACGTGTAGTTTACGTGTCGTGATGTCATACATTTTCTGGGGGAGGGGGGGGGTAATACCCTTCGGTCGAACCCGCCCCCCCCATCTCCCTCAAAAATACGAAAGCGACGGACGCATATCGCCGTGATTATCGTTTCAACAGCGTTATATTATTTTCATCATGTGATGTAACCGACTCCCGCCGCACGCCTATAAATATTGTATGCGTAGACGGTTTTTTTTTCACGTTACAAACCGATAACCTCCATGCTTAGTCGTGATTCCACTCGTATAACGCCGACAATATTGTGCCGGTTGTAATATCGTTATACAGGGTGTTCCGCGAAGATATACCCATTGTATTATCTCTCCGGGGATAATGAAAAAAAATAGATAATCAAATTCTGTTTTTTTTTTTTTTTTTTTATATACTACTCACAGGGATAAGGAGTACAAATATTTATATTGCATTAATTTGTTTACGTTTTGGTGAAAAAATGTACGAAAAATAACTTCTTGTTTTATTGTTTTCGTTTTTGAAAACTTCGAATATATAGCATTTTTTTTTTTAGAGTTTGTCCGTCTGAAAATGTTGACGTATCGATTTTATGTGTTCGTTAGGTTCGTGATTTTCAATAATTGTCTAAAGTTCAGAGAAAAGTACCAATATAGTTGTGCAGCAGGGTGTAATCGCATTCCGTACAAATGGTTGATAACTATTAATACGATTAATTGACTGTACGTTTCTTTTTCTCAAAAAAATCACGAATTCGACGAGAACAAAATGTGTCGATACGTCAACATTTTCAACCGAACAAACTCTATAAAACGGCCGTCTTCATGTACGAATAATAATATTATGTGTGGTGGATGGATGGGGGGGGGGTAAAACCGGAATTCGATCGTCTTTACGATTTCCGAAGATATTGCAAACGGGTTAAATATTTTCGCGGGACACCCTGTATCGCGGTGTACGCGTAGAGGTACACGGCCAGAACCCGAGACGCGCGTTTATATAATACGCACGCGCGCGCGAACGTGTTTCGTGTACGCCGGGCGGGCGTACACGCGTACACGATGATAATAGCGATAACGCTAATAACCAATAATAACGTACGGCACGGCCGCGAGTACAGCGCGATAACATTGTGCTCGTATCGCGTAACCGGCCGTCGAAGGAAATCCTTAAATTTTTTTCTTACGCCCGCAGACGTCGAGATCGCCGTGCGCACTCGTACCGCTCGCGCTCCGATAATAAATGTCGTCGACGTCGCGCGCGTATCGCGAATGCCGCGGCGCACGGCCGCAACGCAACGTCATTATTGTCGTTGTGTCGCCGTCACCGCCGCGACGGACGAACGGTCAACGTCAATATTCGCGCATTACACGCGCGTAGCGTCCGTCCGTCCGTCCGACCGACGCGCCTGGCGATCACCCGCGAATCGACCGCGGATTTATCATGCGCGTGCGTACGACAAATAACGCGATCCCGATTATTACGGCACGACGGCGACGACGACGTTGGCGATACCAATTATTATTACGACGCGGACAGCCGCTACACGCGTCGTAGGAAATCCATTCCGACGCCGGCGTAATGTTTCAAAACGACACGTTCGTCGGGCGAACGACCGTCGGACGCATTGTCCAATGATAATTGATCGCTGTAATTGGCGTGCTGTAAAAACATAAATAGGCAATTTTATATTATCGAACGCGCGCGCGCGCGCGCCGGGTTTTTCGGATCGGGTCGACGCGATGTCGCGGAGGACGCGCCGCGACACGAAATCCCACCGGGGGCGAAACGAGAAAAAAAGCGTTTTATTCTGGAAATATTTTACGCCGTCGTCAGCGCGCGATTCAAGTACGTACAGTTGAAAATCCCGAGTGAACAGTACTGAACCTGTGTCAGAACGGGAATCGGGAGGTGTGCGTGTGTGTTTGATTGATTGATTTGGGAACCGGATTCGGCCGAACGGGAACCGATATTCTGATGCACCGTTGTGAGTCACTAAATAGGGGAGGGGGTGCGCTAATAAGCCGTGTGTTCACTATCGCCGCCGCACAGAAAACACGGTGTCGTTGACGTTGTTATTTATGCCGACTACATACGCCGGCTCCGGGTTGTCGAGCGCCTCTAATCGTTTTTGAAAATATTTATCGGGCGAGCGGCGACGTACACGTTTGTCTGGATACCGACCGGCGAAATTATTAATTTTAACATTTCGAAACGCGCCGTTTATGATATAAACCGCAATAATATATTTCATTGTGACGGGACGACAATTATTTATCAGTGTCGACGGGACGGGCGCCACACCTGGCAGGCCGCCACTGCAAATCGTCCGCGCTAGATTTGTTCGCTTTTAAATCTACCGTCGAAAATAGCGGCACTGTCGGAAAGAATAAAATACACCGCGTAACCGGGAGTTATACAGGAGTGAAGCTCCTGAGCATTGTAACTGTTGTTGTATCCGTACGGGCACGTATTCGATACACACGCCGTCGATTTTTATCGTAGCACGCCAACAGTGGTTTTCAAATCGAATTCTGTCGAACAGTTTCCGCATTAGGGAGTCGTCTTATACGAAAAAAAAAAAAAACTAGGGGCTCGCGACTTGTGAAGGGTCGAAAATCACCGGGTGCGCGTTATAAAAAAAACCGCGCGTAAAATATAACGGAGAGCCCGCATCTGTAATCTCGAATTACTCATTCGTACGAGATCGACGACAAATATTATTATTTTCCGGCCGATATAATAATATTACAATATATACTTGCGTCGATCGCGGTCGTTTGTCGGATGGCCGTTCCAGGGGCGCACGCGGGAATATTTTTTATGGGCGGGCTGGAGCTCGTTGTTTGTGCACCTACGGTTATAATCACAGTCGAATTCATAGCCAACAGATTACACCGTTGACAACAACAATCATGACGGTTACACACCAGACAATTACCGAAGGGTTTAGTCAGTTTTCACCCGAAATCCTCCAAGCCCCCCCCCCCGCCCATCTTTGTGTACGCTCCCGAGCCGTTCGACACTATAACGCAGTATTCGTTGTGCCCCCGCCGAATAATAAGTCCACAGCAACGTGAAATACATTCGTATTATAAATTATCGTGCGATTCACGTTTTATCGAATAGGAATTTTTTTTTTTTTATGAAAATTTTTCGCATAATCGCGCAACAATAATATTTGTATTACCGTTAACGGAACGCGATTTTGTGTAACTCGTGTAAAAGTATTGTCGCGCGACGCAGGCGGTCAAAACGTAGTCGGGAGTGGCGGGGCGGCGGCGGAGGCCGATGTTCGGAGTGTTTTAATCGTTTTACACCACGCGCCGGCGATTCGAGCGAAAACGTGCCCACCCCCTCCCCCCCCATCGATCAGTTCGAAATCACGGCGTGTACGTCGTCGCGGAGAAATTCTGTCGGTTTCGGTTTTTTACTTTTCCCGATCAGAAGTACCGCGCAGAACCGCGAAAAAAACCGTCCGTTTGTTTCGGGTTACAATCGACGTCGTCGTTCGCGCACCAGTATGCGGCCGCCGGTCGGGAATTTCGATAATCAAAACGCGTCCGAAAACTGGCGACGTCCGCCGGCGGTCGATCGCATCCGAACGCGATTATCACGTTATGTACATAAGATAAGCGTTGTATAATTATCGTTCGAACTGTTCGACGGCCAGTTTCTGCTTAGTTTCCCCTCCGGACATTATTGAAATATTTTCGTTGACACTAAAGGCCACCGAACCATCCAAGTCTTTTGTATAGCTACGCGTGACCAGCTGCGGGTGCAGCGTTCATAAATTGTCGTAGAATTATTTGCTCATCGACCACAGCGTAGAATCTAAATCTTATATTGTTTCGCTACGCACAGACAAAAATTATTTAACAGTATCGGGGAAAAGCGGCGAACACGCTATGCGAGCGGTTTTATCGAAATATTCGATAATCCATCGCGAAACTGTCGACGGTGTGAACTATTCGACAGCGCCCGTCACTAATAAAATAAACACGCGGAGTTATATCGATACGGGGTAGGAACGCCGTAGAAATTTACCGGTAAAGCGAACGTTATTAAAAAAAAAATAAATAAATAAATAAAAAATAAATTCGCGTCGCATCTCGCCATTTTCGTCGTCGTCGATAACAGAGAAGAAAAAAAAAAACGACGACAATAATAATAATAATTTATTGTTAACCGGCACACCGTACCGACGACACCGGTCGTTATTATTGTTCGCGGTCGAGCGGATCCGCGCGGTATATCTCGGCGTGCTCGCGTGTAAAACGACGTTTTCCCAGTTATATAAAAAAAAAAAAAAAAACAGCCGGGTAAAAGACTTTCACGCCGGTACGTGTTGTTTTTTTATCATTATTATTTTTGTTATGTACGCGGGCCGCGCGAGAAAGGGGCCGCGTCGGTCGTCACCCGTTATAACATCGCCGGACAGTTATAATTTTTCCTTCTAAACGGCGGGAGAGAGAAAAAAAAAAAACCGCGCGCGATACAGTTATAAGTGCACATAACATACGACGTAATTGATAAAAATGTTATATTTTTAATAACGCGACACGCGGTACAGACACTGATAAACGTAATATACGGACGGTTAGGTTATGGCCGGGGCCCGGGTAAACGGTCGGGAATTTCTCTTCGACGAAAAGCGCGGCGCGAAAAAAAAAAAACAGCGTCGGGAAAATCTCACGATTTAAACGGGTAACCGGTGCGTTTATCACGGTGTGGGATAAAAAATAAAATAAAAAAACTATTCCATGAAAATTACGAAAACGCGCGGACGGTGTAAATCTTTGGATACGCACTCCCCGGAGCCCGACGTCTCCTGCTCTAATGACGGCGCGTAAACGTGCGACGAGCGAAAAAAATAAATACCGACACGATAATTTAGCGAAAACGTACCTGCCGTTTGACGCGGGAAAAAAAATAATAAAAATACGTCGAAAAAACGCGAAACAAAATATCACGACCGTTTACAATTAGTAACAATAAATACGAGATATTATTACCGAAATACCGAAAACGTACGTAAATTGCGTCGCGCGGCGAATTCGAGAGGATTTTACTCACCTCCCACGCCGCCGGTGAACTTTTACCCTGCGATATAAATAGACGTGTAAAAAACGCGCAAATTGTTATAAATACCGGCCCCCCCCCTCACCAACAACAAGCGGTGACGAAACGATCGCCGCCGGATAGGCGTAATAATAATAATAATAATAAAATGTCGCGAGCCGCCCGTCCGTCGGACGATTCCGGTACGCGCGTTCTCCGTCACGCTCTCTCTCTCTATCTGTGTCGTCGTCGTTTTTTTTCCTTTCCGAAACGCGTTTTTACGATATTATTACTATTTGTTATTATTGTGCGTATTACCTACGTTGTATTGAAATTACGTCTCGTCTACAACGCCGCGTAGCACCCGCGCCCCGAAAACAACCGCCGCCGCCGCCGCCGGACGTTGGCGTCTCGGGGTCGCGTTTACCTGCTGGAATGCCGGTCCCCGGCCCGACCGGGAAGAATTCGGGGGCACGGCCACCGGGTATCCCGTAGAAACCTGTCGCGCGAAAATACTCCGTAATATTATTATTATTATTATTGTACACGCACTGTATAAACAGCGTACGCGTACACGGGCGAGGGGAAAGAAAAAAAAAAAAAAAAAGGAGAGAAACACGCACAACACGCGCGCACGAGGAATCGTCTTTGTTTCTCACTGTGTCTGTCTGTCTGTCTCTCTCTGTCTATCTCACTCGCTGTTGTACCGCGTCGTCGATGGTCCGTAATTTTTTTTTTTTTTATTTTATTTCATTTTTTTTTTTCGACCCGTACCGAAGAGAACCGTGCGACCGCCGCCATATTTGCCCACGCCATGTGTGCGACGACCGCGCGGCCCAGATGCCACGACGACGGCGGCGGCCACTATTTTACCCGACGGCGTGTCGATCCGAGGGCCGTTTGCCAAGGGCGACAATAACGACGGCGACGCGACACAGTCCTCGGATTCGTGTCGCGCGAGATACCCTTTAACGCACACGACTCGTACGGAAAACAAACAGTGTACGATTATTAATATTAGAAACGACAATGTCCGGCGTAAGCGATTCGTTTCGACCCGGCGACGACGGATTGGACCGCGGTCCGTCGGCTGTAAAATACACACGTCAAAGTTCATTATAATGGAACAGTATTGTTACTACTAAAGCGTTCGTCTCTTGTAATTTACTGTAAATACAGAAAGTACGGAAACAAAATATGAATGATGAAAAAAAAAAAAAAAATAAATATCGTTGAACAAGTGAAAACGGCGGCGACGAAGTGATTCCTTGCGTGTAAATCCAAAACACTAGAACTGTATAATAATGGGGCGAAGCTTGTGCGCGGAGTGCAGGTAACCGTCGTCGTGCAGCAAGACGGCGGCGAGCACTATAACGTCACGCGCGTGCGAGTGCGGGATCGCCGGCACGGCGGCGGTGCGGCAACAAAGCGAACGGCGACGGAGACGAACCAACGTACGGAATGAGCGTCGAATACGAACGCAGCGGCCAGAGCGGTCACGGCGACTACGGCGGCGGCGGTGAAGGCGGCCGCCGCGGCCTCAGCCGATCGGCGTGGCGACGCAACCGCGCGGTCCCCGCCACTCGGCGGCCGCGTCCTTTTTTAGGCGTGACGAGGGAGGCCCGCGACGTAACGATCCGGTGGAGGGTGGGGACGACCGCGATGGTGTGGCACCGTGGCGGCGGGTAGGATCATACCGGTGGCGGCTCTTATGCGTGCGTACCTACCGACGAGACGAGTGGAAAGACCGACCGTTGAAGCGAGAGGGGCCGAGCCGGCGGCCGGAGTCGCGCGCGGGACCGAGAGAGAGAGAACTGGCAATGCGGTGGCCTAGTAGATGTTGAGTCACGTCCAAAAAACCGGTGTCCGCACACGGTTCCGTACCCCGCGAAACGGCTACGATGGACTCGCCCGAACCGTGTACGGAAAAGTGGGAGGAGTGTACTTTTCGTGCGGTTTCGATCGTCCCGTCCCTCGCCCTACCCCCGCGGGCACCGTCGGACCGACACCGCCCCGCGCGACGGCCTCGCCCGGCGGCCGCAGCGCAACGCGCCGGGTCTCCGCTACGGCGCGGCTGCGGCGGCGGTCGACGAGTTTACGGTGACGTCAGCGCTCGGCGGCTACGGCGGCCGACGCGGTACTACGGCCCGGTAGTGGGGCGTGCGGCGGTCGCGGCGTCGTCGGCGACGGCGGCCGTGTGGTGGGGATAAAGACCCGTCAACAAACGGTAGGAGCAACGTTATCCGCGGCATTCGCCGATGAGATACACACGGGCACGCGTGTCGCGTAGTTTTTTAAGTTTCTATCCGTTCAACGAGATAAATCTATAATATATCTATATAAATGTATACATAATTATTGTCATATACGTACACACGTAATATCTATATTATATGCATAATATATATACCTGAAAAAAAAATTTAAAAAAAAAATTATATACTCTAATATAATACAAATACACGTATATTATATTAAATTTTCAGTGTCGTTTGAAATTTTTTTGGTTTTTCGCTCCATGTTCGTGTGTTCGTCCGTCGCGCGCGCGTTTTCAAATTTTTAATTATTTTTCATTTTGCCGCCGCCGTGTTTTTGCCGCCCAAAAAGTGTGTACGCGTGCCGATGTGCGAGACGTGGTGAAGTTTGGTTCGGTGTCAAGTGCGGTTCTCTACGCTACGTTGTGTGTGCGCGAATGATGCCGTCGTCGTCGTCGCCGTCTCCGTCGCCGTGTTGATGACCGTGCGCGTGTACCGCCACACGAAAGTGCTCGCGAGTTCGGCCGCTATGTTTGCTTAGCGTACTGGGTTTCGTTGTGGTTATTTGTTTTTTTTTTTTTTTTAAAATTCCGCCACCGACGCCGCCGCCGCCGTACCTGCCCCTGGTGTGTGCGTCGTCGCGTGCGTTCCATCGTGTTTTCCGGTCGTTCGTCGGGCGTATTTCTTCCGAATTCCGTTGGGACTGTGCGCGAACCAAGTGTGTTTGGGCGTGTTCCCGAATGATGAAGAGTTGGCGACATAATGGTTAGGGAGACTCGCCATCTTTGGGTCGGAAACCTGCCGGAAAATATACGCGAAGAGAGAATACGCGAGCACTTCAAGAGGTGAGTAAAACGGGGTCCGCGTCCGGGCGGCACTACTTTTAAATTCGAATAACAATTAAAAAAAATAAAAATAGTGTCTAAGTAAACATTATTAATAAATAAAAACGTAATATCGGCCGTTGGCGAACAGCGGTTATAACCTCAGTAGTAGCATTGATAGGCATTGATAATATTATAATTAATAATAATAATAGTATTTTTATTTTAGTATGTATACATATATAGTATAAGCGCGCGCGCCTCGGTGGTGTGCGGTAACGTTTTTTTTTTTTTTTTTTCTTGCCGGCTGTGGCACGCGGAAACCGACCTCCCCGTCCCCCGTCCCCCCCGCGAGCGCTGTCCTCTTACCGTAACTCCCGCGGCCGGCGGCGTTTCCCCGTCGTCGCGCGTTTTTAACATCGCGCGCGCGACCCAGCCGATTTAACCGCGCGGCAAAGCCAATCCGATCAACGATAACGTTGCGGGTACTTATCGCGCACGGTAATTGTAAATGCGATCATTACCTGGTAGTGGCGAGATCGGTCACTAGAGCGCTTTTGTGCGTGCGCGCGTGTGTGTGTACGTGTGACTTACAGGACGAACGGATCCAAAAGAAAAAGTTCGACCGTCCAAACGTTTTCCCGGTTACGTTTAACGTCGCGCCCGAAATGAGAGCTCACATTCGCCCCGTCGCTCATACTCCTCGATCGCGGCGCGCGCGATATTTTTTCATCTCGGTCGATCGTCGCCGCGTAACACGCGAGGCGATGATAACGTTGAAAACGAGAGACGGTGGTTTCATTTGGTCGAGCGCGATATCCGGGTGATGTGTGTGTGTGTGTGTGTGGGGGGGGGGGGGTCCCGATCAAATAGGGGGCTATCGAAAATGCCCCCCCCACTACTCGAACGGGTCATCGTCCGCGGAGATTCGTATCGCGTTCAATCGACTTCTCGTCATTTTCATACCGCGTTCGGACGGATGCCCTCCCTCATTCCCCTCGATAACAATCAACACGGGGCACACGAACACCCATTATACCGCAGGACTGTACAGGACGGACCGAATGAACCGGTTCGGTCGTGTTTTTCCCCCAACTTATTGTCCGCGACGACGGCGCGTACGCCGTATATTTTACGAATCCAATATGAAAAAAAAAAAAAAAACCAATTCAATACCGACGGCGGGTCAATATCGGACACATCAACGTCAAAAATTATTGGTACAAAAGCCGTCGGCGTGAAAAACGTTCGGCCCGATCGTGTTCGGTTTTTTTTTTCCCTCGTCTTTTCGTAACGCGGACACCGGGCGACATACGCGAATAAAAATCCGTTTTTTAAATGCATATTATTTTCTTCGGGCACGTCTTTTATTTTTTGCACACGATCTCGTTTATTCGCAGTTGTTGTGTTTAATGTCCGTTAAAACGCATTTGCCAAAAACGCCGCGACCAGAGCAGAGGCCTGGCGATCGCCCTCGCCGGCCCGACCGCGGCTTTCCAGATTGCGTTTCGTTTATTTTTTTTTTTTTATCGCGGACCCTTATCAATACGTATGGATTTTCCGACCGATTATCGCCGTACGAGTAATCGAGTTTTGCGATTTGTGTGCAATACACACACACGGGCGGAGGGAAACGTTCGAATGTCAAGGTCGCCGTTGTCGTTTTCCACGTTAAATACCGCAATAATTATAATATTATTATTGTTTTTTTTATTTTTTGACGGGTGTTTGTGTGTACGTGTGTGTGTGACTATTTCCCGAACACATACTGACCATGCAATAAATACAGAAACTGAATAGGATAGGATCACGCTACCGCGTTCGGTGGTTTTTTTTTTTTTTGTAACAATCCGAAAATAAATAATATAATACAATTACGACCCGTTCGAAAATCGATCGGTACGGTCGGGCGCAAACGCCACGAAAAATTTAAATAATAATAACAACAAAAAAAAAAAAAAAAAAAAAAAAAAAAAAACATTTCCCTCTTCAATCCCCCCTCCCACCAGTTGGGTCGTTGCCGTCGTCCAGGAAGCGGTGTGAGCTCTCCCTTTTGTTGTAGGTTACGTGTACGTACATTGTACACACACACACACACACACACACACACGAACGCGCTCGCGCGTGCGATTCGTTGCCCGTTTTCCGGGCCGAGGGGCCGGGTGACTGACGTGCGTGCGGATATAAATTTTAGCCCCTTCGTGTAAAAATAATAATAGGGTACTGCACGAGGTTGTGCGCAAAATAAAAAAAAAAAAAAACCCGCCCAAACCTCGCGTCCGTCGGCTGGGTCTCCCGCCGTTCGAAAATCGTCGTGTTTCACAAAATACGTTCCTCCGGCGTGTGTTTGTGTGCGTGTGCGTTGTTTACGCGCGTAGTCCGATCGCCGGCCCGCCCGCGAGGTTAACCTGTTCCGCGTGTGCGTGCGGAGTCCGCTCCGAACGCGCCACGACTCCCTTTATTATTATTATTATTACTATTATTTATTTATTTTTTTTTTTTTCATTATTATTAACGAGTTATTATTAGCCAGACGTACGTATTATTTTAAACGCGCCGCCGCCGTTAAAACGACCCGCGAGCGCGCGCGTGTGTGTTTGTATGTTTGTGTGTACTGCAGTTGTACGTTTTACTACGTTTCGCGAATCCGCCGCCGCCGACAAGGACGTCGCGTTTGTATGCGTTTGTTTTTTTTTTTTTTTTTTTTTTTTTTTTATTTTCCCATTAAAA